CTTAACTGTGTTCTGGTCATATTAAACTCCGAACATTTCCCTACAGGAATTTTAATGCAGAGGGAAGATATTATCTTAGAATGGATCTTTTTTTACCACAGAAACTGAGTAAAATATTAAAAATGTATGTGGAAAAGGTCTCTGAGTTAATTCTAAAAGGAAAATTGAGACTTCATCAATTAACTGAAATAGACCCAGCAGAAATTATAGTACCTTTTAATAATGGTGAAATTGGCAAATTACGGAAAGAAAGTGAACCATGACAAAGAGGTTGTAGTAATTTCTTGGGAGAGATTAACAACAACTATCCCAAAAGCTGGAGAATTTAACTTATAAAGAGAACTAACTGGATTTTTTTCTCACATTGTATGGGACACATGAATTACTGGAGCCCCTACATTCTATACTGATGCAAATAAATCAGGAAAGGCAGGCTACAAATCAGAAAATTTAAGTAAAATGGCTCAAAGTTCTTATGATTCTGTCCAAAATTATATAGCAGGATTATATGCTATTCTCATGGTGCTAAAGGATTTTAAAGAACCTCTCAGCATAGTTACTGATTCACAATATACAGAAAGAGTTGTTTGTATATTGAAACCACTGAATTTATACCAGATGATACAGAATTGACTTCGTTATTTATTCAGGTACAAGATAAAATCAGGAATAGGCATCATCCCATACACATAACACATATCCAATCCCACACGGGTCTGCTAGGTCCTCTAGCACAAGGTAATGCAGAAATCAATCAAGTATTGGTTAGAAATGTGCTGAAGGCCTAAGAATTACATAAAGAAAATCAAATCAATAGTAAAGGTTTTTTAAAAAAAGACTTTTCGGGACTGGAAAGATGGATCAGCGGTTAAGAGCACTGCCTGCTCTTCCAAAGGTCCGAAGTTTGATTCCCAGTAACCACATGTTGGCTCACAGCCATCTGTAATGAGATCTGGTGCCCTTTTCTGGCCTGCAGGTATACAGGCAGACAGAATACTGAGAATACTGTACAAATAATAAATAAATAAATCTTTAAAAAAAGAGACTTTTCTATCACGTAGCAACAAGCCAAGGAAATTGTCTAGCCAGGACTTGAGACAGAAACAAAACCCTTCCCCAACCCCAAATTTGGGAAGATTCTCTTTTGGGAAATTATATCCGATCAAATGAAAAGCATTTGTTAGTTTTATAGGTAGTTTTGCTTAAATGGCCACGGTACTTAATGAACTATCATCTCTTCTAATTAAGAGGTGTTTCTTGTTCAAATCAAATCTTTATCAATTTTGATGATATCCAAAGCTTTTCTTCTCCTGTAGAAACAAAAGCAAAACCCGTTCCTCAACATAACAGATAACCTGGTCTCCATTCTGAGGTCAGGACATCTTTAAAGTATATTGGCTGATTTAATTCTGTTGTCTTTTCTACTATCCAAGGTCTCTACACAGCTGCTGTTCCTTTCTCAGTAGCGTTTAGAAAATTCAAAGTTAATAAAGCATTACGCAATCTATTTCTGGGTGTATTTTTCATCCCTTCTGTTTATTTAATATATCCTTTAGAGTTCGATTTGGTCTTTCTGTAACTGCCTGCCCTGTATGTTATATATAAATTTTGTATATTGATACAAACTTGAGATTAATTTTATTAAAACATGTGGTACATATGTTTCTAATCTTGTTGAAGATATTGTACCCATACAACTCATTTAACAATGTAATACAAATTTCTAGTCCATGAAAGTAATTATTACCAACTGTTTAGGATAATAAAGAAATGCAGATTAGTAATTAGTCACCTATTATAATTGAACTTGTAGTCACATAAGGTATGTTTTCAAGGTCAAGCAGATATATTTAAGATAGACATATCATCTTCAGACACTTCAGAGATCTACAGAATATGTTATTTGAGATGTTTTAATAACATGAGCTCATTTTTTTAAATGACAATGAGAAATGTCTGCTCTTGGCAGCACCAATCTACTTCAGAGATGACAGGCATCAAAGAAACTTACAGTTTACTTTTCTTTGTGGCAAAAGTAAGCCACTGGGTGAGAAAGTGCCTTTGCCTCAACTGCTGACAATATTCTGTCCTAATGAGACAAGCAAGGCACAAAAGAGAGTGACTGCCAAACCTTGACCAGACAAGGTGGGACAGTCCTTCGAAAACCTTGCTTCACAAAAAAGTCTGTCAGATATTCTAGCCATTTAGGCTGAAGATGAATATCCCAACATTTCAGAGGAACTTTGGATGACTGTCCAGGCAGCCAGCTGTTTTTGTCATTTCTCACTATTTTCAGAAGTTGCTTGCTCACACTTTCTGTTCACTCAGTTAATATTATTTCCTTCTTGGGTCTCTGAGGGAGCTGAACACTAGATAGTTATAATTATAATTTTCCTTGTTTACCAGATGGAGAAAGCAAGTTATGAAATTATATATTGCATATAGTTATTGTATTTATTATACATAGTTTTTCTTATATTACATATAGCCTTATTTTTTTATTTTAGAAAAATGGAAAATATAGTGGTATTTTATTTATGTTTTAATACATAAAGTTTGCCTGAAGATCAGAGGGTAAGACTAAGCCACTAGAGGTCAGGCAGTGGTGTCACACACCTTTAATCCCAGGATTTAGGAGACAGAGGCAGATGGAGCTCTGTGAGTTCAAGGCCACCCTGGGCTACACAAGATCAATATAGAAACAGATCCAGATGGTGGTGTCTCACACCTTTAATCACAGTATTTGGAAGTCACACACCTTTAATCCCAGCACTACAGAGGAATGTAAAATGGGAGGCGACAGAGGCTCACGGCTCAGTCTGCAGTCGCCCAGCCTTGGTAGAGGTGAGACTTTTCTAGTGACTTGGCTGTTCTGCTTTACTGATCTTCAGCTGTCTCTGGGTTTTTATTATTTGTGCTACTAAGGTCCTGCTGCAGAAATGAAATACTGAGGAGTACAACTGTAAAGATGGTAGAGCATTTGTCCAGCATGTGGAAAGTCTTGTGTGTTATCCCCAGCAGGCCATCCCCCATCCTTCAAAATCCCATAAGATAATGATATGTTATTTCCCATTTAACATTGGCAAAGATTAAATGTGTCCACTGTTGGCAAAGGTACAGAGAAATCCTAGCTGTAATACAAACTGGTAATAAAAATTAAAGTAATGGAAGTGTTCATCCTTTTGGGAGGTAGTTTGCCAACTTTTATCACAAATTAGAACATGAGTTCTTTCAACTCTATTTCTAGAAATATTTCCTAAAGAATTATATATATCTAAGAATGTTCTTACAACATTGCTTAAAATTGCTTAAAACCAGAAACAGGCTGGATATAGTGGTACATAGCTTTAATTCTAGCAATGGAAAAGCAAAGGCATGTGGATCTCTTGGAGGCTGACATGGTATACAAAGACAGTTCCAGGCCAGCCGGAGCTATAGAGACTCTGTCTCAAAAGCAAGCAATGAAAAGACAGGGACTGGAAAGGTGGCTCAGTGGTTAAGAGCCCTGACTTCTCTTGTAGAGACCTACATTTGATTCCTAGCACCCACGTAGTGGATGAGAACCATCTGTAACTCCAGTTCTGGAAGAACCAATATCCTGTTCTGGCCTCCTGGGGCATCAGGCATGTAGTGCACAGTCATACATGCAGGCAAAACTATTCCTACACATAATATATCAGAAACAGTCTAGCTCAGTGAGAATATATACATCATGGTGTATCCATGTGGGTGATTTGTATTGTGTTGGTATATCTATCACTGTATAATACGCTGTAGTTGTTACTTCTTTACTCTTTTGGCTCTTTGTTCTTTGGAAGTCACCCAGCTCCCAAATAAATCACACATGAAAAATTTTCTTTCTTATGAATGCCTGGCCTTAGCTTGGCTTGTTTCTTGCCAGCTTTTCTTAACTTTAAATTATCTGGTCTATCTTTTTGCCTCTGGGCATTTACCTTTCTCTATTTCTGTATGTCTTTCTTTCCTTCTTGTTCTGGGTCTGGCTGGGTGGCTGGCCCCTGGTGTCCTCCTCTCCTCCTTTTCTCGTCTCTTGACCTCTTTTTCCTTATTTCTCCTTCTATTTTATTCTCTCTCCCTGCCAGCCCTGCCTATCCTTTTTCCTGCCTTCCTATTGGCCATTCAGCTCTTTATTAGACCAACCAGGTGTTTTAAACAGGCAAAGTAAGTAACACAGCTTCATAGAGTTAAACAAATGTAACATAAAAATGTAACGCATCTTTGCATCATTATACAAATATTCCACAGTATAAACAAAGGTAACACATCTTAAAATAATATTCTACAGCAATAGGACCCTCCCAAAGCCAACATGTATCTATTGTCCTCAGAGTTCCGATGTGTGATGGTGATGGGCAGAGGTGGTTCTGCCCAGGATCCATCCTGCTATCAGCCAAAGCTGACCTAAGCAGTCTCATGTGCTAACACAATAACTCATTACATGACCAGCAGGTGGCTGACTGGAGGCCAGTTGCTGCTCTCAGGGCTCTCTCCATAGGCTGTTGGAGTAGCCTCGACAAAATCCCTGAAATTCTCCCTTAAGCAAGCAATCCAGCATAAAGTAACACTGGCCTATCCTGTGCCTTAGGCCCATGGGACAGACGACGTAAGGATATTGTACGAGTTATCTCTTCACCACTGTGACCACAATATCTGACAGGACACCTTAGAGGAAAGGGCTTGTTTTGACTCGTGGTTCTGTGGGGTCTGTGGACGGTTCTTGGTGGTAGGGCATCATCATGGCGGTAGGATGTGCGGAGAGAACCGCTCACTGCAAGGTGGACAGGAAGAAAAGAAGCAGGAAGTGCACGGAGGGCGATGATAAAGCACATCTCAGAGTGTATCTTTAAGAAAGGATTCACTGAGTGTGGAGGACCTGCCCTGAAGGTGTACAGTTCCATCCCCCAGCCCCAGGCCCAGACTGGGGGACAATGAAAAAGGATGAAGGCTGTGCTTCGCTGCCATTTCCTTTCTGCAAGTCCTGGCCACTGGGATATGACTGGCTCTGCTCTTCACTGCACTCGCTCTACCGTAGGAGCCTCAGGTCCAGTGCTTATGTCTTGAGGAAGTTCCAGCCACCTGTGGAGAGAGTCTTGTGAGCATCAATGGCCTCTAGCCGGCCCTTGCCAGCCAGGTGATGTCTGATCAGACAATGCTAGGTAAGCTTGGACCGATATCGGCACTGATCCTGGGCAGAACGGCCCCTGCCTAGGAGAAAACCCCTCTTTACATTGTACCAAGCCCTAAGCCAGCTTTCCTTTTGATGCATCCCACTGGCCTGATTGCCCAAGGCAGAAACCTAGGAGCCAGCCTCTTACATAATCTGTACAGACACCCACCCTGACTCCAGCTGCATGGAGCACATGAATATCTCAGGTTGTGCTGAGTTTTCTTCATATCTGAGGCTACCACCCAAGGTAATACCTTTTTAAACACTTATATTTATTTACGAAAAATTTTAAAAGATTTTGGCTATATAGCTGTGCACCATGTGCATGCTATGCCCACTGAGGCCAGAAGAGGGCATCAGATCCCTTGGGACAGGATTTATCAGGACATGAGTACTGGGAATCTAACAGAGGTCCTCCAGAGAACAGCCAATGCTCTTACCTGCTTAGCCATCTCAACAGTCCACCTTATATCTTCTGAGTGCTCTTCCTGCAAGTATGTGCACCTCATGTATACCTGATGCCCTGCGAGATCAGAAGAGGGCATTAGATCCCCTGGTATGGAAGTTACAGATGGTTGTGAGTTACCACATGGGTTCTGAAAACAAACCTGGGTCTTATGTAACAGCAGCAAGTGTTCTTTTTTTTCCTTTGTATTTTTTAAATACAAAAAAAATTGTTTTTACTGAGCTATACATTTTTCTACACTCCCCTTCCTTCTTCCCCTCTCCCCCTTTACTTTCCCCCACGACCCCCACCCTCCCAATATACTCAGATCTTATATTTTCCACCTTCCTATGTAGATCCATGTGTGTCTCTTTGTTGTTTAGTTTCTCTGGGGTTGTGGCCTGTAGGCTTGGTTTTTTGTTTTTCATTATGTCTAAAAGCCACTTATGATTGAGTACATAGTATATTTGCCTTTCTGGGTCTAGGTTACCTCACTCAATACTGTTTTTTCTAGATCCACCTATTTGCCTGCAAATTTCAAGATGTCGTTATTTTGTTTTACTACTGTGTAGTACTCCATTGTATAAATGTATCACGTTTTCCTTATCCGTTCTTCGGTTGAGGGGCATTTAGGTTTTTTCTAGGTTCTGGTATTAAAAATAATGCTGCTATGAACATAGCTCAGTACATGTCTTTGTGGTATGATTGTGAATCCTTTGGATATGTACCCAACAGCAGTATTGGGTCTTGAAGTAGATTGTTTCCTAATTTTCTGAGAAATCACCATACTGATTTCCAAAGTGTCTGTACAAGTTTGCATTCCCACCAGCAATGGAGGAGCATTCCCTTTACCCCACAACCTCTCCAGCATAAGTTGTCATCAGTGTTTTTGATCTTGCCCATTCTGACAGGTGTAAGATAGAATCTCAGAGTTATCTTGAGAAGCTTCTGTAAAGCAAAGAACACAGTCAACAAGACAAATGGCAGCCTACAGATTGGGAAAAGATCTTCACTAACCCCACATAGGACAGAGGACTGATCTCCAAAATATACAAAGAACTCAAGAACTTTGACATCAAAAGAACAAATAATCCAATAAAAGAAAAAAAATGTGATTCAGAACTTTCAACAATCTCAAAGGGCTGAAAATCTCTTAAGGAAATGCTCAGCATCCTTAGCCATCAGAGAAATGCAAGTGCTGAGCTATCTCTGCAGCCCTAAGGTAGGATATCTTTACTGTAAACAAATGTTAAGAGTCTTCCTTGAGATTCCCAGATGTCTTTGGAAAATGAATGAGACCCAAGGGTTGGTTGCTATTTAAAAATAAGATAGCTCTCCATGAGAGGAATATTATTTCTATGCCTGCAGCCTTTAGTTTACAGCAAGTGTTGTGTGCTGGAATTCCTGAGGATCCTGGATTCCTCTAGATCTGGGATGGGATGGGGGGGATGCCTTTTCCTTTTCCCATAATTTTCCCCATCTTCTTTTCTGCTTCACTGCAACTCATTGCCTTGTTGTATGTTTGTGAAAGACAGTATTGTGTGTCTCTGGATGCAGCCCAGGCAAGAGTTGGATTTGCCATCCTCCTGTTGCAACCTCCTCAGTGTTGGGACTGTAGGCACACTCCATGCAAACCTAAGACTCCAGCTCTCAGTAGTGGGCGCCTACTAATCTAGGAGAAGGGCTACAATGTTATGTTCTTAGGACAGTTCTTGCTTCATGGTATAGAAATTGTTAGGTTTCAAATCCAGATAAATGGCCGGGTGCCTATTTAACAGACCAAAGCAGACCTGGCTGCCAGGTTCTCCCTGTATCCCTCTGTCCCTACCTGTTACAGGGCCCTCCTGACTGGCATACTGCCCTCTACCCTGAACTTTCCAGCCCAGGGGGCCGGGCTGCTCTTCCTTATGTAATCCAACCATTTTGGTTACCTGTTCTTTCTGGCCTTTGGGCCTCATGGCTGCAACACCTGGCTCTCCTCCCCGCCTCCTCACATGGCTCAGGGTCATGACCAGATGTGTGTCTGCCTCTGACTATGTTCTCCCTTTTATCTACAATAAAACTCCTCCTCCACCATACCTACCAGCAGCCAACTTTCCTTTCCTTTTTCTTTTTCTCATTCAGCAATCAGGCAGCAGCTGAATACTGATCCCTGAAGGGACACACACCTCACAGCACTGACATTTTATGCACATAGCTTTAAAAAAGGGGGAGAAAAAAAAAACCCTAGTAAGAGAGCATTCTAAGCGGCGTGTTCTTGGTATTAACAGTTGATATCCAAAGAAGAAAAATATCTGAGCCGATCACAAAGAAAGGCAGGGTGGATGAAGCAAATTTCTGTTGGAATTAGATGACAGGCTGTCTTTTCATAGGCACTGATCCCAGAGGGCCATCCGTTACTAAAAATCTGGGTACAGTAGCGCCTACTTTTAATCTCAGCACCCAGAAGGCAGAGGCAGAGAGATCTAGGGCAGTCACAGTTACAAAGCGAGACCGTGTCTCAAAGAGGAAAAAAGACGGACAAGCAATTTAGAGATAAGATTAACATCCAGGGCTCAACATCAGAGGATCCTGTTACAAAGCCTGTAAGGACATGGAAAATTTTAAGAAACTTTGCTTGATCAGGAGCTGCTTAAGGCACTGGGTTTAAGAAACTTTTTAGCATCAAGAGTTAGCTGGAAACAAAAACCTTTGCCAAAATGCAAACCAACTGTCCGTAGCAGCTAGCCCCCTGTGGATACCCAGCTTTGTGGTCTAGACAGGAGCAGAAAATAACTGCTTGGAGGGGAGGGCGGAGGGCATACACGGAAGCCGAAGTAGCCGCTTAAAGGAGGAAGAGAACTATAGAAATAGTCCATAACCTGTTCTGAGCAAAACTAACCCATGGACCCTAAGTTAACCTGGCTTGCTGTTTTTGCCTGTATATGTCAACCGCAAATGAGGAGAGGGAGCACTGCGCCGCGAGTGGTGGCTTTGAGCTTCCAACTAGTTGGGTTGAATAAACCTTGCGTCTGCAGTCTGGACGTGACTGGATCCCGGTGGTGGTCTCTCTGGGGGTCTCAACTTGGGCCCAACAAGTCCAGAGCACAGACAACGGGACAGGGGATGGGTGAGGGTGGGCTGGTGGTGGGAGGACGTGCCTTTGGAGCAGCAAATGTATCTACAGGTTCTGTCACTAAACGTCTAACGCACACACAGTAGACACTGAGGAGGTACAGCTGGCAAAGCCACCCGAGACCAGGTGACCATTCCTCCGGACAGCAGGGCCTCCGAGGACAGAAACGAGCCAAGCTTAAGAACTGCTTGCTAACGCGGTACTCCAGCAAGCCTCCGAGCGGAAGTGCGCCTCTTCCTTCCGGTCTGCGCCGCACGAGACGGGGCGGGGCAACGCGGGAGGCGGGGGCGGGGCCTTGAGTTGACGAACAGCTCCCGGAACCAATTAATGCAGCAGCAGCGGCCCGGCCTCCCCGGCGCGCCCCTTCCAGGGGCTGTAGACGCCCCCCAGGCCCAGCCTTGCACCGCGCCTCTCGGAGTCGCCGGCCGCTCGAACCTCCGGGTCCTCACCTCGCTCTCTCCCGCGGTGCGGCGCGTCCCCAAGGCCCGGGTGCCCGGCGTGCTTCCTTGCTCATCCCAAGCCTCCCGCGAGGACTGCTGAGGCCGCAGGTCTGTGGCTGCGGGGTCGGGCCGCCAGGGCACTGGACGAGCCGCGTCCACTGGACACGTGGGCGGGGCGTGGGAGGGAGTACGGCTGAGCGGGAGCGAGTGCCCAGACGTTTTTGGGGTTGCCCGGCACCTGGCCCGCTCGTGGACTCGCCAGGTGCGCGCTGGGGAGTGGCTCCAGGTGTACGGTGGCGGCGTGCATCCCGATCGGCAGTCGTGCTATTGCCTGCGGGTCCCTTAGCTGAAAGTCTGGCCGGGGCTCCGCGTCCCGCTGGCCAGTGCAACTTTTTGTTTCCTGGTTCGTGGGGTTGTTGCAATCCAGACGCGTGTCATAATTAGCACCTGGCGTGTTTGTTAACTTTCTGTCTTAACAGGCACGGTGGATGCACGATGGGCCCTCTATAGCCCCTTGTCCCGCCTAGGGCTAGCAGGACATGAATCACCAATGGGGGGGGGGGGGGGGGGCCCCCAGCTGTGACTGCAAGACTTTGAAAAGATACCTATTTTTTTTTTTTAACTCCCTCACTTTCTTCGTTTCTTGTGCTTTGAGGTACAGTATTTAAGTCTTGTGTTCCTTCTCATTATTTTTGAGTGAGCGAATCTCCACAAAAGCGTTGGGTCTTGTTGGCTTGCCCTGTTGCATTGAGCAAACCGTTAGGTAAATATAGACTTTGGTACCTCGAGTGCAGGTTGGATTAGCTGCTCAAACAATCGCGTCTCGCTACTCCTCGGGGCTTTAATTGATAATTAGTAAAACGCTATTCATTATTCAGAGGAACGAGGCAAGATGTTCTGGGGGGCGGGAGGGACTGGTGCCAGCTTACTCACCGCCAGGACACCCCCGCCTCCCCCCCTCAGCTTCCAAACTAGGTAACTGTTCCCACAGCTACACCCACTGTTGCTCCCCAGGGAGAGCAGCCACCCTGTTTCGCACAGCCCCGCCGACTTCGACACTAAGACATCTAGCTTAGCCGCGGGTGTTTCAAAGAACACAGGTGCTAAAAATTCAGGTACCAGAAACAATGTTTCAGTTCTTCAAAATCTGGCTGTCACAAGTTTACTAGGAATCCCTCCCACGTGGTCAGTTCTGTGGGGGCATCAAACCCACTACTTTCTGTAGGAACTGAGAAAACAATGTAAAACTGTGTCACTCAACATATCACATAGTGTTAAGGTTCAGGGGAGGAAAATGTCACAAAACTTGGAGCATCCAAGATGGCTTCCAGGAAGAAGGGCTGGGCTTCTTCATGTGTCTCACCTGTATCCCTGACTCCTGGAGTACCTGGAGAACCCATGCTTTAGAAATATGGTTGAGTTCAATATTTGCATTATGACTTTAAAGGCTGCTTAAGATTTGTATGGTAGGGTCTGCTGACAGCCGACTTTAAGAGCAGAAGGGTGTTTTGGGGTAAAGAGGGTGTTGACATATCTGTGGGGCATTTATCTGGGTGTTGTTTGTAGGAGTGGTTGGAAGAACAATGCGCGTGAATCTCTGACATCATGATGTACATCCGGCAAAGAAAAGAGACGAAAACCGTAGAAGTTTCTGAGGGTTGTCCATCACCGAAAGAAAATGTGAAGTTGGAAAAGAAATTGCCATCTGGTAGGTGATCTGAGCGAAGGCGGCATTCACATTACTTTCACTGCTGCGTATTAGCATATGTCACAGTCTAATAGGGTAAAGAATGGTGAGACTTCTGAAGGACACTTGTTCCAACACCCAGACGTTCTGATTGTGCTTTGATTATATTGGCTTTTCAGCTATAATCAGTAAAAGAGCTTTGATGAGAATCCTTGGTAAGTTGTCTGTTGATTACCTTACGGTGGCAATGACATCAGGTCCTCTGAGGCTTTGCCTGCCCTACCTGACTGTCTCTTTCCCTAATATCTTGTCTGGTTTGTGTGTGCGTATGTACCATCCAGGCAGCTGCCTGAGTCTCATTTCATTATAGTCTTTGAAAAAGAAATTTTAACATTTTGTATTCGGTCAAATTTCTAAAGTTATCTCTTTCGCTTTATTTTGGGGGTGGGTAGGGGATGGAGGAGGAGGAGAAATAAATGAGAACTTGGGGAAACGTTTTTATAATGCTGAACAGTTGCTAAGTGACCCCCCCCTCCACCCCGTCACATTTTCTAATTAAACATAGCCAAAATTTTTAAAGTAAGCTTGAAAAGCTCCACACACATCAGAGCCGTTTTTGGTATTGGACATAATTAATCCTTTGTAGCCAGATGAATTCTTAGCAGCCAGAGCTAATAGGTAGCAGAAAAAGCTGTTTAATAAGATAAAAGAGGCCTACGTTAGAAATTCAGGCCATTCGGCTAAGTTAATGGGAGCCAATGCATATGAGGTAATTTGGAGTAGTTTCTGATGATGGTATATAGTTAAAATTCATGTTAAATTGTGCCCTGTGTCTTTCTCTTTTTAAATTGCATTTATTTATGTACCTTGTATGTGTGGCAGCCTGACAGTGTATGCATGTGAAGGTCCGAGGCTAACTAGCAGGAATCTGTTCTCTTCCTACCTGTGGATTGCAGAAATCAAAGTCAGGTCATCAGGCGCGGCGGCAAATGCCCTCACTCACCCTGCTGCCTCACCAGCCCTTCGGTGGTTTCTTGTTTGTTTTTAACTATTTATTTTTATGCATATGAGTGTTTTGCCTGCAGGTATGTGTATACACTACTGGTATGCCTGGATGCCCTCTGAGGTCGGACTTGGGTATCGGGACCCCCCGTGAGCTATAGTTGCAGATGGTTGTGAGCCAGCCACCATGTGGGTGGTAGGAACTGAACCTGGGTCCTCTGCCAGAGTACTAAGTGCTCCTAACTGCTGAGTCATTGTTCCAGCCCTGTTTTGGTTTGTTTTAAATTAAAAAAGAAAAAAAAACTTTGAAGATTGCCCATTTTATGAAATCATGTCAGAAAAGAGGCAACCCTAAAATTAAAGACATTTTGAAAAGAAGGAAAAGCCACTCCTACCAACTTACTTGCCCTGGAGGAAGCAGAGATGACTGTGTTTATCATGTCTGGATGTCGCTGTCTGCACGTGGTAGCCCACAAGCGGTCATATGTAGCTTTCCATATGAAACGGTCCATGTGCCGTTCAGGAAGTTGCTGCTTGCCTTTACCAGGTCCCGAGCCTTTTCATAAGTACACCACAGGCGTGCGCCTGGTGCCCTTGGAGGTCTGAAGAGGGCATCGGTTTCCTTGGACCTGGAGTTACAGGCAGTTTAAGTCACCATGTGAGTGCTGGGAATGGAACCTGAGTCCTTTGTAAGAGCAACAAGTGCTTTTAATTCCTGAGCTGTCTCTCCAGCCCCTGAGATATTTATTCAGATCCATTTCTGTATTAGTGAGGGTTTCTATTGTTGTGATGAAACACTATGACCGAAAGCAACTCAGGGAGGAAAGGGTTTGTTTTGCTTACACCTCCATATCGGTGTTATCACCAAAGGAAGTCAGGGTAGAAACGCAAGCAGAGCAGGATCTGGGGGGCAGGAGTTGATGTGGAGGCCATGGAGGGTGCTCCTTACTGGCTTGCTCCCCGTGGCTGGCTCAGCCTGCTTTCTTATAGCACCCAGGGCCCAGCTGTTGCACACACGGCTCACGATGACGGGGCCTGCCCTTATCAATCACTAATTAGGAAGCTCCATTACAGACTGGCCTGTAGCCAGTCTTATGGAGGCAATTTCTCAAGTGCACAGTCTTAAGGAGGCCATTTCTCAAGAGAAGTTCCCTCCTGTCAGCCGAGTCTCACTTGTGTCAAGCTGACATAAAAGCTAGCCAGCCCACTTCCAAAGCTGTTCTCCGCTCCATTACCGTGTATCCTTCTTGGCAGTGGTCACGCCGCTCAGGTGCTCTACCACTAAGCCACACCCTCAGCTCATGTATTAGCATTTTTAAATTTCATATTTCCCAAGAATTTTTTTAAGTAGAGCTTGTTCTTTTGTCGATAGTAAATAATTGAATGAGTTTTAACGTGTTTTCCTCTGTCTGTTGCATTTATTGACCCTTTTTCCCCTTTTGTTCATTGCCCATTCATATCCTTAATCTGTTCTCTACTAGGATATTCATCCTTATTTCTTATCCTTAAATCTCCTATGTTTGTATTCTTTCTAATTTGTCTTTTGGTCAATGCTATATTGTTTCTGTGAACTATATTTTTATTTTTCATAAGTGTCTGTGTGTCTGTGTGAAGGTTGTACCCATGGGCACAGACTAAAGGAGGGCATCAGATCCCTTCCAGCTGGTGTTGCGGCGGTTGTGAGCTGCCTGATGTGAGTGCTGGGAACCAGACTCAGACTCAGGCTTTCTGCAAGAGCAGCGAGTGATTATCAGTGGCACTGTCTCACCTGCCCCAAATGCTACATTCTTGTTTGATGTGTTTCACTTTTCTAAAAGGTTGTGCCTCTGGAAGGTTCTGGAAGATCCTGTCATCTGTGGTTGGCGGAATCATGGCCCTTTGCATTGGACTTCTTACATCTGTCTACTTGGCCACCCTGCATGAGAATGACTTGTGGTTTTCCAATATTAAGGTATGGGCTACTTTAGACCATTATTATACGATCTACTTATTTGTTTCCCCTAGAGCTAGCCATGTAGATAAACGACCAAGACCACACAGTTTAGCTGTGAGAGTCCAACCCACTTTCTTATCCCGGCATGGTAGTTAGTGCACATCTGTAATCCCAGTACTCAGGCAGAAAAAGGAAGATTCAAAGGCCAGCCTAGGTTATATGAGAACTTGTCTTCCCAGGAAAGAAAAGAATCCTGGGTCTTGGAAGGGTTTAACTCGAGGGTAAGAAGACTTATGTGTTCATCATTTAAAAATAGCATCAGAATTTGTATTATCGGGTGAGTTTCTCCTTGGTATGATGCTACCTGCATTGTCCCAACGCTAGGGAGACAGAGGCAGAAGGGTTGCGAGTTGAGGCTAGCCTGGGCTACATAGTAAGAATCTGTCTGGAAAGCGCTATGGAGATGACTGAGTTAGTAAAGTGCTTGCTGCACAAGAGTGAGGCCATGAGTTCGAATCTTTAGTGCTTATGTAAAAAGTCAGATGTTGCAGTGCACTCTTGCACGCCCAGGTCCAGTGAAAGACTCTGTCCTCTAAGGCTCAAGACACATGGCTTCTAAGGAATGGCCCTCAAGGTCGACCTCTGGCCTCCACTCATGTGCAGATACAAACACATGTGTCTGTGTGTCCCCATCCCCTGTACATATGCAGGAAGAAGAGAGAGAAAGAAAATTGAAATTTGTTATTTTTGATCGATTTAGTTTTACTGTGGTTATTTTAAACTATCATATTTGTCAAAATATGGGTTATGACACTGGCATAGTAGGCTGCTCGGTGAAATCCAGTGGAATGTTGGAGAGGAGGGCTGAGGATTGTTTTGTTACTTTTCGTTTTGATTGTATATATCTGTGTGCAAACTGGGTTATGGTGGAAATTTTATTTATTTATTTTTTCTGTCTGTTGATTGCAATAGGCTAAAAGGAAGGAAGAAACTCAGATGGAGCCCTCATCTCCATCCGGAGCTTCAGACTTTCTAGTACTGTGTGTGCAGGTGCAAATGAACCTGTGGGAAAGCCACCACTTCCTTATAGTCGAGGGGCAGGGTCGACTCTCCAAATATCATTTTGTTTCTTTCTGTCTTAGAGTTTCTAGAACCTGCTGGCATCATTTCAGGGCATGCCTGTGCCTTCACAGAAGAAGCTTGCCTGTTGCCAGGGGTTTTGATATAAATATGCCCTGCTTTTTTCCTTATGATTTGCGTTATTATTTATATATAGTATGCATGCGTGTGTATGCACCTGCCTGTGGGTACAAGTGCCTATGAGAGACCAGGAAAGGGTATCAGATTCTCTGGAGCTGAAGTTCCAAGAGCTTGTGAGCCATCGGATATGGGTGCTGGGAACTGAACCCTGGTCCTCTGGAAGCACATGTAATTGCTGAACCATCTCTCCAGCCTCAGATAATGCTTTTTCGTGAACATTAATGTCTTTATTTTGGATAAAGGCTAAGATGTCTCTGTGGGACTATGTAGCCAAAGTTAAATGCTCATAGCAGTATGGCAGGAAGACATGTCGGAAGAGCTATTGAATCGAGCTCTTTAAAGTATATGAATGGCCTTGCTCACATCTTATAGAACCAAACCATCATCAAGATGCTTGGGCACCCTTGACTTTTCCCTGGGTCAGAGTAGTCATTGTACTACATTGTGTTCTTTTTTCAATCCAGAGTTGAGCACCTGTTTTGTGGGTAACACTGAACGAAATTCTGTGTAGAACTTAGAGGGACTAACAAAGGCCTCAGCTTGTCTAGCATACTAAATGGAGTAAATATGTACCGGACACTGCAGTATTAAGTGGACTCTGTGCTTAATGGTAGCGGTACAAATGGATGAGACAAGGCCCTTGCCCGATGTGGGTGATACTCTTGAGAAGAACGCAGGCAAGTTTCAGATAGTTCAGATCGTGGCACACATCCTGAGTCCATGCTCTGACCTGGGTAGAGTTCTAAGGAAGCCCATGGTTGAGGCTGCAAGCATTAGTTAAGGAATCCTGAAGGGTAAATAAAGGAAGAGACCCGGGGAGGGAAGTGAATGGGGGAGGAACAGTGCTCAAGGGAGGCAAAGGAGAGCTGGGTGTGCCGACAGCAGCAGACTGTGGCCAGAGAACAGACGGGCAAGGGTAGACTGTGTATGGCAGCAGCTGATGGGGAAGGGCCTGTGCTCCGGTCATAGAGACTGGCCTTTGAGTGTGTGGTGAGCCCTGTGTCATCTAACTAGGCTGCAGCGCTTCCATAGAGAGCTGTCTCAGGTTGTGGCGTGGAGAATGGATTGAGGAGGGCAGAATAAAGCCAGAGCCCACCGAGGAGTTAATCCTGTTCAGTGGATTCTATGAAACCGGAATATCCAATTAGGATATCCCGCAAGTGATTCTCTTCTGTGAGCCAGGCCCTCTTCTAGGCCTGGGAATCCCGCATTGAAGGAGACTTAATTTTGATGCAGGGCACAAAATCAGAAAGAAAAATCAAAGCAGATGGTGAGTGATTAGGGGCCTCTTTAGAGTCGGGGTGAAGCTGTTGACCTCAAGGGTAAGATGTGGAAACCAGGACCTGTGTGGTAAAAAGGGGCAGATGCCACCGGGGCAGATGCCTCCGCAGGGAAGTGGCTCCAAAGCGGGAATGAAGTTGACCTGTCCTGAATCGGAGAGGAGCACATGGGGCCATAACGCTGTGAGCATATGAAGGAAGTGTAAGGGGCTGTACAGAAAGAAAGACCCTGTCTGCACAGCGCGGCTCTGGCCCCAGAGGGAATGAGACATAGTTTATAATGAGTGTGCATGGCCTGGATGGGGACGCATGTTGTTCTGGGTGACACGTGATGCCATGGAAAAGGTCACAGGGACTTCCGTGGTCACAGGTCAGAGGAATCATAAACCAGTGCACTTACCCAAGTACTTTAGTGGGGACACCAAGTATGTGGGTGAACTTGACACCAACTGGAGTCATCTGGGAAGAGGGAGCCTCACTTGAGAAGATGCCGCTGACAGACTGACCTGTAAGGAAGTCTCTGGGGCATTTTCTTGAGTAGTGATTGGCATGGGAGGGTTCAGCCCACTGGGGGCAGTGCCTTCTCTAGGCAGGTGCTCCCCAGTTGTATAAGAAAGCAGTCTGAACAACTATCCATTAAGCAGCACTCCTCCATGGCCTCCGCTTTAATTCCTTCCTTGAGTTTCTGCTCTGACTTTCCTTCACGGACTGGATGTGTAAGGTGAATAAACTCCCCCCCCCCCAAGGTCGGTGTTGGTCATGGTGTTTGATCACAGCAGTAGAAATCTAACTAAGACATGAATTGCAACAAAGTGTGTGTTGGGTGGGGCTTGTCTCTGCTGTGGGTTCCAGATGCTGTCTGATGACATTTTTAGTTTTGAATCTGGGAGAAGCTAGTGGTTTGCAAAGTGGGTGTGTGCCAAAAGTTTCACCTACTAGACAGATGTCCTAGGCCAGGTAGAGAGGTTGGGGATAAATGGCTGCTGAGGTTAAAGACAGCAGGGGGTGGTTTGACTCTGGGTCTACAGCCGTCCCTTTCCCTGTTTCCCCACAGGCACGGGACTTGTGGTCAGTTTGTCAGTTCCTCAATCTGCAGGGCCTTCCACTCCGAAGAGCCTTCTTTGGGGAACTTGAGTTTGCACTCTCATTGTGTAGGGGTTCAGAGGCTGGAAGGAATTGAAGAGAAGAGGACGGAGTCAGAATTTTCTAGGAAGTTGATTTGGAAGGCCATTTTGTCGTTTTTATGAAAGGTGACTGACGGGGCAGAAAGACAGTGACAGCCCAGCCTCCTCTGAACAGCGTGGTGGCTGGCTGATGCATCTGCCATTCCCCGTGACATATGCAGACTGCTATATGCAATCCTCTAGGGTACAGTGACTTCTCTCCAGGTACCACCAGTTAGGCCAAACTTTCCAGGCTCAGAACTAACCCTCAGCAAAACTGCCCTGGTTGCAGACTCTAGTTGTTGCTGGATGGCGGTAGCACACACCTTTAATCCCAGCACTTGAGAGGCCCAGGCAGGCGGGTCTCTCTACACAGGTCTAGGTCAGCCAGGATGACATCATGAGACCCGGTTTCAAAAAGCCAAACTCTGGTCTCAAATTGAGGGATCCCCGCCCCAGTTGACCCTCACCTCTAAGCAGTTGGCTGTAGATTCTGAGGTGCCCACTAGCCATTCAGGACGAGGATTGACTAGAGTGACTTCTAGAACTCGGGGACGTGCTGTACTTGAAGGTGGGTGGCATAAAGATACAGACTTGAACCAGCTGAAGGGAAAGACACAGACAGGGTAGTCCAGAACATCCCAGACCCAAGCATCCGCTGCCCTTCCTTGTGAGCTCACACTGAAGTACTCTTTCGGCACACAGTGTGGCAGTGTGTGGTTTAATGCCAGCCAGGACGGCTCACCTGAGCCCCAGTGTAGATGGGTGTCTTAGGGTTTCTATTGCTTGATGAAAGGAACTTGGGGAGGGAAGGGTTTATTTCAGTTCATCGTTGAAGGAAGTTAGGGCAGGAACCTGGAGGCAGGCGCTCAAGCAGAGGTCACAGTGGAATGCTGATACTGGTTTACTCCTCATGGCCTGCTTGGTCTCCTTGTTTTTACTTGCACATGGGAGGCACAACTCACAGGGAACTGAGCTCTCTCATGTTGATTAAGAAAATGTACCACAGGCTTTCCCACAGGCCAGTCTCATGGGCACATTTCTCTTTCATAACGACTCTAGGTGGGGTCAAGTTGACATAAAAACCAGCTGGCACAAGACCCAGTGGCTCACGGCCATGGACTGAGCACAGTCTGCAGCCTAGAGAGGTCAGATTGATACAATGCAGCTCAAAGTCAGATTGATACTGTGTGGGCTCAAAGCCCTAACCTTCTAGTTATTGGCGAGACTCAGCGACATTCTGAGTCAGCAGCATCAGCTGTCAGATGGGGTCTTGAGAGAAAGGACACTCATCACTCAGGAGTTAAGGGCTGCC